TATACACACCAAACTCCAAAACACAAGGCCATTAACTACTATGGTTCTGAGGGAAAAAATTATGCTGCTGGAATTATACAAGCACATGATTTCTTACGACTTTTTGTACTTATTTCTCAATCAGAGGACCTATATGTTTAGCTTGATGCACACTGTTACCAGAAACAATAGTTAATGCAAACCAGTTAGCATTTAATTTCACCATATCTGGCAGTTTCTTCTAAGTGAAAAAGGTCCTCGTTTTAAAGGCCATCGTTCACTTATACTGGCTTATTTTCTTTTACAAAAATAGAAAATATTGCCTCCAAAAAAAGGACTAATTTCTCAACCCTTCAAAAACAGACCCCATGTACAAAAAAGCACCAAGCTGTAGCCATTGTGTCCTTAAGCTCATTTAACAATATTTCATTAACTGTTTACTTTGAACAGCCTTGTCGTTGTTGGAAGTATATCGCATTTAGGCCGGGGTCCGATCTTTGAGAGGGAAGTAAAAAAGAAAGTCGTGACTCTGGTTTTAAGAAGACTATTTTTTAGAGCAATTCAACGTCTTGACTATTTTTAGTAAACTGCATGATTTTTTTTACAATCTTTACTAAAGGCTGGGACGGGGGGGAGATCTACTGACACCAGGGGCTGTCTCTTCTGATACGATCCCCTTGCCTTCAATCAGAGGAGAGGAAAGAAAAATCAAGAGTGATGTTTAAACTTTGGGTCAATGTATATGATTACGTTGACAGAGATGAAGCGAGTTTCTAAACACTGCCATTTTCAGGGAGGTGACTTATGTAGAGACCCTCTCTTCATGCACACTCCCACTTGCTAGTGGTTGTAGCTTTGGTTTCTTGGGAACAATGTCTTTGGCTGCAATGGTGCCCTGAATCGCAGTCTTTGCTTTGCGTTGCCTTTTCACAGTGACAATAGAGCTAGCCATGTTTTTTAACTTTTATGTGGCTGCTGTTTTGCACTGGATGTCTTTGAACTAGCTTGTTGACTTCTTTAGAAAGATATTTCTGGACAATTGTTGGCTGGTTTTATTTCAGGACACCTGCAGGGGGAGCCAGAAATCCGCCTGCTCGATCGGCTTAATTAAAAAAAAAAGAAAGCAATGATGACAAATCACATTTCAGCCAACTGCAGTTACACCAGTTTTGTTTCCATGTTGGCACAGGACTACACCAAGAGAACGCGAAATAACCGTAAAGTTAATGGTCTGCGTAGGCTATTAGTCCATCATGTCCTTTACTACGGGTCCAATTAGAAAAGGAATAAGTTTTAATCCATGAAAACCATGAAGTCTCTTATCTTGGAGGAACCTCTTGCATATACTCGATGCTAGCTTCAGGAGGACTTTCTAAATGTTTTCAATGTTATTGTGTAGTTGATAGCACTATTATGAAAAAGCTACTTGTCATTCCATATGAGTCTCTGAGGACTGCTTTGTGTATCACTGTGACTGCCGTGTGTGCTTAGAGATGTAGACTTATCAGTAGGTAGCGAAACCAGTTTGTTCTGTAGTGATGTCGTAGCATTTAATGCCATTTTCCCTTCTACACGCAGAGAAAGAGAGAGCGCGTGGCGTCACTCGACTGCACGCAGCCAAAAAAAGGTGGAAAGGTGTTTTTATTCGAGTGCGAGCGGGTCGTTGCTTCACACAGCATTTTGTTGAGCACTGTGCAATACTTGTATGTTCATCCCATAGTGTTAACGTGGGTGGCGTTGCCCGAGAAAAAAAGATTCTAACTCTAGAGGATGATACCAGTCCAGAGAGATGTTTCTCCTTTCCAGTGAAATGGTTAGGACACAGCACACGTAGATTCAGCTTATAGGTTGGAGCTTGACACCTCTGTTTAGGGTTCCCTCCCTTTTCGCAGGTTTGTTTTTTCTTCTTGCACACAGTTCCAGCATCAGAAGTTTCAGGGAATATTAGTTAAATACCAAACCAGATTCTACATTTAAATATCCCCTTAAAATGCCATGTATATATTTACATAATCGTGTCAAAAATGTAAATCTAGAATGAACATAAAGTGACATGAAAATGATTATTCAGCCGCAAATATCATTTTATTTATCTATCATCCATATACTGTATCACATAATCATTATGTCATTTTCATTATGGATTTTTTTTATTTGTTAACTGCTCTGTTCATTCAAAAAACCCCTTTTATATTTGAGATGAAAACTCTGAATGTACAGTATGGACTGTGTTGGTGTAGATTACTTTAACCGTGAGATTAGATGTACTTTGCACTTTTTGTTGTAAAAAAAAAAATATCGTTTTGTTTATATTTTTTCAACTATTATGAATTTATTTTAAAACCCTCTGGGGTGAAATCTACCCCGTCTGATAGCATTCCAAAATCACTGAATATACTTAAATACAGCAACATTCCCAATTCCCTCTTCCACCGAGGGATTCTTTTATTTGACATGTTTCACATATGTAGATTCATGAATTTAAGTACAGCTTCAGATTTAAATTTAAAAAAATGGATTAAAGAACAAGGTAAAGGCTCTTTAAAAGTGGCCTGAGCAATTCAATATTCATACAAAAAGGTTGTACTAACGGAATAATCCGATCAAAGCTGAAAGAAAATCAAACAGAATTATGACAGGAATAACACAAACGTGTAGAAACGTATCAGGGAATTCAGTAATGGGAAGCATTGCAGAACCCATTGGATTGCGAGATGTGTGTAAACACCACAAAGCAAAAGCCATTACCTGCACCGCAACGCAATGCTTCTCTTATTATGATTTCCTACCAAAGTATGCATACATAACCAAACCCTAAATTCTCCTCTTGTTAAAAAAAAAAAAAAAACACCTTATCAAGCTCTCTGTATGACCAGGAATTCAAGATTCTCTCCAGTGACACTGACGAAAAGCCACACTGACCTTTCAAAAACAAAGCTGTGTAAAGTATTAGAATCTGATGCTGTAGAAAGATCCTAGTTGCCTTTGTGTATATCAACTGCCTGCTTGAGTATTTTGTGTGTGGAAATTTTCTCTGTAATCTTGTAGAACTGTTTGGGGTGTTTTTTCCTGCCATATCGCTAGCGGTGACGGCGAGCCGCTGACAGTTATATTTGCTGTGTATACCTTCATTTTTGACGAGGTGTTTTACAGTTTTGTTTCACTTTGTGTAGTGATTCACTCTGTGGAGTTTTCTGACTGTTGTTATATAACTTCATATACACAAATGATCAATAAAAATGTTTTATTTCCTGTTGATACAGAAGCTTATCCTTGTCATATTTTCATGTGTGATTAAAAGAGCACTGTCACCAAAGCATTCATTTAAGCAGCAGAAGATGCTGTCACTGCCTCTAATAGTAGCTTTAAAAAACAAAAACAACCTTTATTACTATTACTACAGTGTTTGTACAGTCCTGATAGACAGAACTGAAGAATGACTCACTGCTCCAGCACTAAACTCCTGTCACATCAAAAAGTGTCTACATGCATCGCTTGCGTGACAAATTAGAATTTTAATGTTGACATTTGCTTTGAATTGGCTTTGAATCATCCAGAGCAGCCTGTTAAAAAGGTCACTACTGCCATCTAAAGGACGCAAATGAGCATAACATAGTGTATGATCAATGAAAAAAAAGATCAGATCATGTTTTCCATTTTGCTTTGGGCACAGATCAATTTCTATTAGTGAACATTCACTGATGTACTTGAGCCAGAAAACGGGGACAAGAGTTTGTCCTCCCACCAAATGCATGATGTCACATCGATGTGAACCTCAGCTGAGAGTGAATTTGATGATGAGAGCACCCTGTGGTTGTAGATTTATAGATTTCGGGCTGCTGCTATGAAATGAAGCTCATTTGGGTGTTAAATGTCAAACATGTAATCAGTAAAGAAAATCCTGTGAATATTTAGTGGTATTTGTACAGACTGAAGCTTAAACCCTTTAACATCCATCTAATTTTAATTTACCCTTTAAGTGGCTTGAAAATCATGTTATTCCATATTCTCACACATATATTCTTTATCAGCTTGTTCCAGCTCTTCATTAAATATATTTAATGTTTGGTTTACACTTAATTAAATATTCAAACTCAAGACTCTTTACAGCTCAACCAAATGGAAATATTCTAGATGTCTTTTACATCATTTTATACACATTTACCCCAAATTTTGCCTGACAAATTTGGTAATAAAGTTCTGTTAATTTTAACAAAATGTGGCTGCACAGTATGAGTTTAAACAAACTGTACTGTCAGCAGGACAGTGTAAATGAGGGGGATAAAGTAAGAGAGTTGTTTTCGGACTGATTACAATGTATTTTGTGCTTCTGACAGCCACAACAGGAAGTGCATGAACAGATGCATAGGACAGATAAGTAACCCTCAAAAGTACACACAATATGAGGCATAAAAAACAAGAACAAAAAAAATAGTTATACAATATTTGCACAATGTATAAATACAAACTAAATTTTGGAAGTGCTGCATTGGTGTGATTTTTAATGGCTTAATGCAGTCCATTAAATCTGTTTCTGTGGTCTACATTAAAATAATAAAAGCTGCATGATCAAATAAGGCTCCATTCTGGCTGAGGAGCCAAGAAGTAACCAAAGCCACATAGTGTCTTTCTTATTTGGTGCTCATGGATAATACTGATACTAAAGTTTTGCCTCATTGTTTTGCCCCGTGCACTTGTTTCTGTGCCAACTATTAATTGTGGTCTTTTATTTTTGGGAAGCTTTTTGTTTATTCTGAAAATCCAGGCCCGTCGTGAGGAAGTGACGTCTGAGCCTCATCTTTGTCAAGTTAGCCAGCGTTAGCCGTCATCATACCGGAAGTTGTCCACTGCCGTTGCTATTTTGTTGAAAAAAATGTAAAGACTGTATTATATCAGGTTTAATTAAATAATAAAACCCGTATCTTACTTACCATTACCTTTAATAATTTAGCTGACTTGCTGGGTGTTATTTAAAAAAAAAAAAAAAACATTATTTTTAAAAACACCAACCGGATGTAGTATTTTTTTTTTTTTAACCGAGCTAGCTTGTCTGACGTACATGACAGCTCCTCGTACTACCGTCGCCGTTGCAGTAAACTCGACCACGCAGTCGCTTAAACTAACTGAAAATGCTGTCCTACATCATTGGTGTAAGTATACCTCAATGCAAAGTCGCCGGACTTATTATGTTGTGGCTAATTTAATTGCTTTTAAGCTGAGGCTAACGTTAGCTCACATTTAGTTTCCCCCAACCCAAGTTCAGATGGACGCTCTGTCAGGCCTGCCCGCAGGAATTTCTATGACTCATTTGTCCTGTTATGGATAAAAGAAAAAGACTAAAGTTAGACAACGCCCCACGGAGGTCTCCAGCAGTTGGTGTGGCTCATGCTAGCTGGTGGTCTGAGTCATTCTCTCGCTTTTCCCCTTTTTTTATCTGCAGCTGATCCGAGGCGGCTTTGACGGCATCATCAACCTCATCTTCAGACTTTTCTTCTCAAAGAGGAGAGCAGCCATCACCTTAGAGGACCCAAACATTAAGTATGCACTGCGGCTGCTGGACAAACAGGTAACCAGTCTGAATGTCCCCTTATCCCCCGCACACAATCTGCTGTTTCTCTGTTTCGCAAACGCACCAGATGCGTTCAAGCACCTGCGTTGATCTGTGTTGGTGTTTTGGCTTTTTCAATGCAACTTTTCTGTCTGACCAACTGTTCTGTGTTTGTTGCACACACAGATTGTCAGTCATGACACAAGGAAGTTTCGCTTTGCCCTGCCTTCCCCTGAACACGTCCTCGGTCTCCCTATTGGTTAGTATGTGCTCCTAATCAATCGAAGTAGGTATTGATACATATTGGAAACCAGTCACAGTCATTTTGTAATGTAATAAATCAAATTCAAAGATATACATGCATTCAGGTAATTTGATGCATATACATTTTTATTTTGCAGCCCTAATATTAACTTCTTAGTTCAGCTGACTATTATTTGTATTATCTATTTATCTATTATGTGTTTATATTTTCTCAATTTACCGTTTAGTCTTTGAAATGTAAGAAAAATTGCAAAGTCACAGAGCCTGAGTTGACGTCTTCAAATTGCTTGTATTACCTGACCATCAGTCTAAAATCCAAAGATAATTCAAACCACTATCATATATGATACAAGGAAACAGTGAATCCTCACATTTGAGAAACCACCAGAGACCGTTCAGCATTTTTCTTTAAAAAAGTTACAGAAACTATTATTCCGCTATCAGAGTAGTAGCATCCAACATATTTTACATGGCTCTCTGTGTTTTCCTTCCCAGGGCAGCATATCTATCTGTCTGCCAAAATCGACGGGAAGCTGGTCGTGCGTCCGTACACGCCAGTGTCCAGCGATGATGACAAAGGCTTTGTGGACTTGGTGGTGAAGGTAAAACCTGAAGGAAAAGTAGTTTCTGTATATATGTGTGGCTGCCATTTTATTTTTCTGAACCCATTTTCTCCTGCTGTCCCAGATTTACTTTAAAGATGTTAACCCTAAATTCCCTGAGGGCGGGAAGATGAGTCAGTACATGGAGAGCCTCAAGATCAACGACACCATCGACTTCAGAGGACCCAGTGGTCTTCTCGTTTACAAGGGCAAAGGTGAGCGCCGTGACCTGATGTCTCGGTGTGTTCGGTGGAAAGATGTTTGCAGTCAGTTACGATTCAAATTCAGCTTCAGTGGCCTCATCTGATGCTGTCACTTTCCCTCCGCAGGTGTTTTTGCCATTCAAGAAGATAAGAAGACCGCAGCTGTGACCAAGAACGCCAAACATGTGGGCATGATTGCTGGAGGGACAGGTAAGGGAAACTTCTAGAGAATCTATAGAAGCAGGAAATGACTTTCTCAGTTAAGTGAGGATTCGTTCAACACTGTAAAATGTCCATCATCAAGTTGCCTGATTTTCCTGACCAACAGTCTTAAACCTAAAGATATAATGCGTTTTTATATAAAGCTGCAACCCACGATTATTTTCATTATTGATTAATCTGCTGACTCTATTAATCGTTTAGTCAATAAAATGTCAGAAAATAGTCAAAAACACCAAAATATTCATTTTACAGTCATATTTAACAGAGAAAAGCAGGAAATCTTCATATTCTGGAGACAGTTCATTTAAATGATGAATCTATTATCAAAATGTTTACACATTATTTGTCTGGAGATTAATCGGCTAATTGATGCAGCTCCAAACATTTTGTCTATAAATTGCTTCTTGGTGGTATTATTGGCCTGCTTGTTGTGGAGAATTTGTTCTAAGATCTCTTTTATGTGACATACGCTGTTACTACCAAAGCTCTCCTGTTCAGTAGCTTTGGTTAGAAATCCCCTACATGGTCAAAAGTATGTGGACACCCAAACTGTTGAAGCCATTTTTGTCCTGGGTTTAGTAGTACCTGTGTGCATGTGAAATGGTGTGTGTTGTAGTTCCCTTTTTGAACAGCAGGCGGTGTGTTGAGTGAAGGGAAAAGACCAAAGAGGTGAAGCAGTAATCACAGAGCAGGTGTGTCGTTACCGGAAGAAGCACACACTTTTTTTTGACCATCACTGAGCTGTTTTTGTTTGTAAGTTAATAACTGATGTGAGTGCGTATAGGCCGCCGTCTGTAATGTGGATGGCCACGCTGTACAAATAAATACTCTTGAAAGGGCCCGTGGGGATGTTTGGAAATGTGGATTACTTGACCGGCATGCTACACAAAGGCAACGCATCGATTAGGCAAGCACTGCTACAGCTGCCCCCCAGTGGCTTGTAGGTTGTTTTCTTTTGGTTCAGGTCACTACACAAACATTACCCCCCCATGTGTGTCTGTTTCACTTTCTATAATGCGGCGTCCTCTTCCCACCACATTTTGGAAGCTGACTGTATTTGTGAAGTTGTGCTTTAAGGTCTCACAGCTGACGGGTTTGAGGTCGGGGCTCTGTGCAGGCCAGTCAAGTTCTTGCACGCCAAACTGGGAAACCCCATTCTTTCACCATGTCTTTGCGCATGTGGACATTCGCATGTTGAAACACAAACTGTTACATAAGTTTCTAAAATATCATTATGTACTGTAGAGACATACACGAACACAGTGAGAGAGAGATTGTTGTATTTGTTTCTGTTTTTCTTGGTGGTTTTGTCACTTGTTTGGTCACTGTCATATCTGATCAGACCACACCCACACAGTCCTTCTGAAGCAGATCAGTTTTTAAGTGTTAAACACTTGTAACAAATTATCGCTTTAGATGTGTATACATTGTTTTTATTTTTTTGCTTCCAAAAGCTCTACATCAGTTTCTAATTTACTAGAAAATAAATCTCCAACTAGATAATTAATCATTTTCTACTTGAGAGAATTTGATAAAGATTATAAAGAGTGTTATTTGCAAAAGCTTTGTTAAATATTAACTGTCTCTGCTAATGTGTTTGTATTCAGCTGCCATATATTGACTGCCACTGTATTGGCACAGGGAGTGGTTTCAGTCAAACCATGAAAACAACACACACTGTCCACATATTTTTGGCCACACATTCTGTGTTTAATGAAAGGTTCTTTGTGTCTGAAGCCAGAAATATGAGCTTCTACAGTTAATATAACTCAACCAAACCTTTGTTTCCTTACAGGGATCACTCCCATGTTGCAGCTCATCACCGCTGTGATGAAGGATCCTCAGGACAAGACGGTGTGTCACCTGCTGTTTGCCAACCAGGTCGGTTTCATCAGCCAGGATCACATGATGCACGGATGTTTGCAATTATTAGAATTTGTCTTGTGGTGGGTTATAATGAAAGCAGAGGTGGAACATAAGACCTGGTTCTCCCTGTCCCGTCACAGACTGAGAAAGACATCCTGTTGAGACCAGAGTTGGAAGAGATTCAAGTCAACAACCCGGACCGGTTCAAGCTGTGGTTCACCTTGGACAGAGCACCTGAAGGTAAGTTCCCTAACGATGCTTATCACGAAAACTTCAGCAGGAAGTGAAAAGTGATATTCTGGCTCCTGTTCAAACCATCAGCAGCATTGTATCTGTGATATTGTTCTGACATCAACCATGTATTTATATCTAGGGCTAACACATTTTCATTATTTATGATTTAATTCGGTCTATAAAATGTCTGAAGATTGTATAAAACGTCCAGGAACTCAGAGTAAAACTTCAAACCCCCAGTTGTTCAGTTTATCATGAAGGAGAACTGAAAGGTTGACAGTTTTTGGAATTAACTGACTAATTGTTTCAGCTATATTTGGATGTATTTCTATGACGTGTTGCACCATTTCTGTGAACCCTGAGAAGAATATTCATTAGGTATAGGAGAAGTAGCTGGTGATGTTTTGCGTGATAGCGAAACTCAAAGGCATCTTTATGTTTGGCTGTTTCCGCTGAAACTCTGTATTCATTTCCTGATTAGACTTGTGATCATAAAAATTGAGGCACATTTTACTATTTTGATAATTTATTAGTCATTTAGGGCTTTTTTTTTTTTAAGGCAAAGATCTACATGTCCAGTTTCTCAGATGCGAGGATTTGCTGTTTTGTCTTAAGGTCTTAATGTTTTGCATGGTAAAAAAATAATAATAATAATCTGAAAAGTAATAGTAACAGGTCTCTGAAATGCAGTGGAAGTATTAAGGCAAGTATAAAATCAGAGAGAGAGAAAGTGCCTGAAAATGAAATGTACTTTCTTTGACTGTGTATCAATAATGTTTGCACTGAGTGGCACACATTATTCTCACCAGTAGGGGTCACTAGTGCACTGATATATCAATATTAAGTTGAATAATGTAGGCCCATTCTCAATAAAAGATTTACTCATAAATGTTTAACCTAAAATTTACAATGAATACAATTAAACACAGTAATATATTATGTTTATTTCATATATGAAAAAAAAGAGAGCAACCCGCAGTTTCTGGTCTTTTTTTCGTAGAGCAAGGATTATGGCACCAAATCACACAGGATGCTGGGAAACTTGTAATAGCACAGCCGAAACCTCTCCGTTGAGCCGTTAAGCAGAGGGGGTTGAGTCTGATGTTAGCTGACTCAGGTTCAGTTCAGACTGTTGAGGTCTATCAGCATTTTTTTGCTCTGATGTACACTTTCTTTCCTGACTTCTACAAAACTCCCAAGTAGAATAACTGCCTTTTGAACAGAGTTTTTATGCTGATGTTTTTTGTTTTTTTTTGAGGATGTTGATGTCTTAGTTGTGTTTAAACGTTGGCGCCTTTTCTGCGTTTCAGATTGGGAGTACAGCCAAGGCTTCATCGGTGAAGACATGGTGAGGGAACACCTGCCGCCTCCCAGTGAAGACACTCTCATCCTGATGTGTGGACCTCCGCCTATGATCCAGTTCGCCTGCAACCCCAACCTGGACAAAGTCGGCCACTCCAGTAGCCGCAGGTTCACCTTCTAGACGATGTCAACACCAAAGGAGTCGAGGTTTGGGCATATAAGGGTGTCCAGTTATCATTTTCTCTACCCCAAAAGCATTAAAGCACTCATACAGTTGCAGTGGGTATTGCACTATGTATACTATATTTATGCCATGAATATTATTCATGCAACAGAATCACAGCGCGGACCAATTTATGGAATCAGGAAGGGTTGTGGAAGGGCAGGAAATGGTGAATGTTTGAGTATGAAGAGTGTTGGCTTTGAAATATGGATGTGATTCCTAATCTGTTGCAAACGAACCCTGCTGTCCTGCTGTGGCCTCAGTTCGGTTTCAATATCAGAGTCGTCGAGGTTTACTGGCTGTTTTCTGAGTGCCTTAACACTTGCAAAGCTTTTTTATGCACAGTTAAAGAATTCTGACCTTCATTTATACAGAATTGTATTAATTCCATTATTGCTGTTGAGACTGTGTTAACGTGTACCTGCCCGTTATCTATCGTCACATCAAAGATGTCAGTACTTTGCTTAAACATGTTCATAGTGATTTATTGAACGTGATGTAGTTACTGATATGTCTTTGCTGCAATTGTGGCTACTTGTTTGGATATGCAACATAAAACCCAATTGCTATTGAATTTGATGCTTTTATTTTGTTGCTCTGCAGGACTCAAGTACAACTCCTCATTTACAAGTGTTGGATCATAACTGTTGTAGCAGCTCCCTGGGCTGGTTGAGAAGGATGTTAAGACAAGGAAGGATGCAGATTTCTCCTTTTTATTACAATTTTTTTTTTTTAAAACAATGACTTTGGTTTCCATGTTTACTTTCAGTAATGCTGTCTCTTAAAAAGGAATTTGGAGAAGAAACACTTTCATGCCAGGAGTTAGATGGGAGGATCAATACCACTCATGCTGTGCGTTAAATATAGAGCTAGAGCCAGGAGTTTATTAGCTTAGCATAAAGACTAGAAGCAGCGGGAAACGCTTAAAAAACAAAATCCATCTTCCAGCTAAAGCTCACTAATTAACATTTATCTTATTAGGTTAATCCATACAGAAACAAACGTTAAAAACAACAATTTGTAGTTTTAGGGAGAGTTACGTGCTGTAACTATTGTGTTGTGAACAGCTTTCAGATTAAACAAAAGAGATTTGTCTTAATTAGTGCGCTCCAGAGAGAGTCCATTCTAGGTGATTGCCCCTGCTTCTAGTCTTCATGCTAAGCTAATCACCTCCTGGCTGTGGCTTCATATTTAAGACACAAGAGTGGTAGCGATCTTCACACCTAGTTCTTGGAAAGAAAGCAAAATCAGCTTACTTCTAAAAATGAGAACTTTTTTTTTTTTAAATAAAAAAAACTTCCAGTGGTATCTAGCCATGCAGATAGTTTTGCTTTTATTCATCCAGGTTTTGAGATTTATGTTTCAACCCCCGATGCCATGTAGGTGAATGGAATTACATGTGTTTGGTGCTCACAGTATTGAAAGATGACAACAAAATTCAATAGGTCAGAAAGAAATGTCCTGGGTAATACACAGAACGCTACCCACAGTTATAAAATAAAGCTGTTCCATAGAAAGTGTCCTTGTTGCACTGTAGTTTCTGAAAAGGTACACTACAGTAAAGGTAATTTTTAAATGGTTTAAATGATTGCCACACAAGAATACTTTGTGTTGGAGGGGAGGCAGAGATCTCAAAACCTGGACAAATACAGTCAGAACTATGCGTTTGCTGTGATTTGAATGAACTTAAGATAAAGCATCTTTACGTACCACAAATAAAACTTGAGTACTAAACACAGCTGAGGGCGACTCCTCAAAAAGAACAAACTAACACGTATGCTTACCTCACTGATTACTGAAGACAAATGCTTGAATAATAAAATAAATGAAGAAGGAGGTACATTAATGCTTTAAATCTCGCATTTTCAGTTCATGCATTATATTCGACAGCTTCAATAAATATTTATACGGTCATGAAAGCTGTGGATGTACTTCAGAATGATGAAAATACTGTAAAAAGGTGGGTGGAGGGATTTGTGTTGGCACAGTTTGTTCTTTTTTCACAAAGCTCGGCGACTCAAACGCCATAGTTTTCAGTTTCTGTCCCGTTGACCTCCGGTGGGCAGACAGCGACCTCGTGAAAAAACTCATCGTCCTTCAGCATGATCTGAAACACAAAGGGACCAAAGAGGATGAAGGAAACTCAAAAGATGAACTCAATTTTCAGTTTTCCAATAAGTCAGGTTCGTACGCTCCATTCTTAGTCATTCTTCTACTCCCATAAATGGAGAGAACTTTTTTTTTGTCAGCTGTTCTGTACTGTGCAGTCACACAGGAGCAGCTTTGTGTCTCACCGTCAGATTGTTGATTCCCTCAGAAAATGCTCCTATCTGCCTAACTGTCCCTTCAGAGTCTTCCATCTGTCAAATAACACACAAACAGAGGGCCAGGCAACAGATTAATGATACAAAATAAAGACACTCATTCAAAATGCTCCACAGCAACTCTTCCTGGTATTTTCTTAAGAAATCCAGTTGTATGAAAGAAGTAGAAGTATCTCCGTACCTGTTCCAGGTGGTCAAGGTTCTCTTCATAGATCTGGACACCCCTCTGAAAACTGCTGCTCTTGGGCATTTCCACATTCATGGGGCAGACGTACTCCTCGCCATCATCCTGCCGTTTCTTCCTCAAAGTGCCAAAACCACCGAATGACATACGCCTGGGCTGGAGGAGGAAAAGGGTTTGTAATCGAGGGCTTTTGCTGATACGGAAGCTAAGAGATATTCAGTGTTTTGCACTAAATTCAAGTAGAGCTGAGACAACTGGTTGATTAATTTATCCAGTCATACTTTTAGCCCTGCCCAAAAAATCCTGAACCCAAAACCAGTGAAGAGAAAAACTTTCAAACTCCACAATTCAGCACCACATAGTTTCCAGTGTTTTATAATGTTTAACAGCTATTTAATGTGTTTATAGAGAAATCACTGAATTTGTTTTACACAGACTTTAAACCATATGGCAAACTCTCCCTAGTTACAGCTTCTCACCAGAGAATATGCTACATTTTAGATATCTTCCATAAGCTTGAGTATATTGTGGACTGTTGGTCCAACAACAAAACAAGACATCTGAGGACATTAGCTGAGTTTAGCTTAGCATAAAGACTGGGAACCTATAAAAATCTATAGAAATAATCTATACACAAAATAGTTGTGATTTAGTGATAAAGGTGATAAAACAGCATTTAAACCATAAAGAGAAACTAAAGCTCCCAACTGAACACAAAGACAAAGATTCTGAGAAGCAGCTCGTGATGTGGACCATAAGGTAATATTTTCCCTATGTAAATAACATAAGCCAATTTCCATCAATAAAAGACCGAAATGTCAGTTGAAGGACCCACGAGGAATTCAGTGTGTGAAATCTCCTTCAGAAAGGCGGCAGCTTTACTCTGAGTGAAACTGGAGCTGATATCACCACGGTGACCGAGAGATTTGTTTGCGATGCAACGGACGAGTAGTTACCTTGACCTTGGCGGTGGCGGTGAGGACGGTGTAGTCTGGGTTTTCCAGACAGTCCTGTTTGAGCCGCTGTGCCTCGGAGCCGATGAGCAGGTGGAAGTGTGTTGCCAGGTGGCGTCTCAGCAGGGTTTTGTTGGGAGGAATGTTGAGCAGAAGGGCGAGCGCTTCCACGTTGAAGCGAGGCTCCAACACCTTCAGAGCGTCAGACATTGAGAAAGCATCATGGTGAGAGGTCAAAAATGGAAACAGAAGGTTTTTTTTTTTTTTTTTTTTATAAATAGTACATAACAGTGTGTTAGTGTTGCCACGCTGAAGTCATTAAGAGAGGCTGCCTGCTGTGTGCTGAACAAACAGGGAAGACCACCACAATGAAATAAGTTAACTTTCTCAACTTAATTACGTCTCATCCTGGACAATCTATTGAACATACTGTATTTATATAATTTCTTAAAAAATGTTTTTATACTTAGATTCCTTTCTGTATGCCTGTGCCACGGACTAGAATACATTACTTCCTTTAATTAAGGATGAGTCAGATCCTTCCACCTTTATGGAAAAAATAAACATCTGCAAGAAAATATATACTACACTGTACTATATACACTATACTACTATAAAAGACATTTGCATACTTATATACAGACACTTGAATTAATAAATAGTTAACAAGTCTGAACTCTTCTCCACCCTTGAATAGATTATAAACGTTACAAAATACAGAAAAATATATTTTGTAATTTTACATTTTGACCTGTATTACTATATATTTACTTATGGCGTGCTTCCCCACTGGGTTCACCTAAACTTTCATCAGATCCTGTCCCCGCCCTTCTCACCATCAGCCCTCCATGAACGCCGCTGCCCCTCAGATTTGGAGCGTATTCTGCCAAATCCACAGACCGGAGCCACTCCATCACTCTGTGGTTGGTCCACTGGGAGATCTCGGCTGGCGTGATGTTGTTCTGGACAACAACGACAAGGGAATACGTTGTTTTTTTCCCGTGGCAGCTAAATTCGAAACAGCTTTAAAAAGTGAGAGAAGAGTAAGGGTTGTCGCTTTCTGTGTGATACCTCATCAGAGGGTCGTCGCCTGAGACAGTTGGGTTCGTAGGAGTTGAGGCGGAGGACCTGAACGGCCCTTTTGATGCTGAGATGATGGAGAACGCTGCCCACCTTCAGAGACAGCAAGTCATCCTGGGTAACGGACACAAAACAAAAAAAAGTTATCACAAAGTCAGCTGTTTGATCATTTATTCGGTGGGGACATTCAGTCACAACATAAAAGATTTTAAATTTGATCTTTTGCTTTGAAACAGGTTTCAGTGCAACAAGGTTTAAAAGGTTATGGCAGCTCACCACCGTCATGTAGTGCAGCACGCGTCCATCAACACGAGCCTCGTCAAAGTGACTTTTGTACTGCGGGAGGCCGATGTCATCCAGCCACCCTGAAACAAACATCAGTGTGTTTTATTTTAAATCAAAACGACTACACATTTTTATTAAGCAAGATGACGTCACACTCACTGGTCACCCAGTTGTGGTCCAGTTTCCCCTTGAAATCGTCCTCCTCTGACCCGAGAGCCTGCAGAGCCAGCTGTAGCTTCTTCCTGTGGAGCGGCTGCTTCATGCACAGCTCCTGATCAGATCAACAGAGAAACAACGTCACACCCAGGAAACTTTTATCGACAGCAGCGAGCAGACAGCGGTGGAAGAAATACTCAGATCTTTTACTTGAGTAAAGTAGAGCAGTGTAGAAATATTCTGTTATAAGTAAAAGTTAACAGTGAGTTTTAGAAGTCTAGATTTGGCTTGGGAAGTAAAAAAAAATCTGACCTGAATGGTAAACATTCCTACTAATGGGAGCCTCACCTTCTCCAGATCATGCTGTGATGCCTGCAGTAGCGTTTGTCCAGACTTGATCCAGCTATGACACTGGGCAACATACAACCCGAGGCCCTGCTCATGCAGCCACGCACAGACTTCATCTTTACTCCACCGCGAGAAAGGAACATCTACAGCACTGACGGGGATGGAGAAGGAATATTGATCACAGTAAAACTACTTTCACAGAACAATCGTGTCATTTTAGGAGACATACAGTGTATTACAGGTT